GTGTGTGTGTGTGTGTGTGTGTGTGTGTGTGTGTGTGTGTGTGTGTGTGTTAAATTTTGGTCTTTATAACTCTTCACAATTAAAGCAAACCTTTTGACCTACGGACTGTAAAGACTTGTCAGACACTGAATTAGCTTTCACAGCCCAGTCACTTGGTCACAAAGTGTTTTAGCATCAGCTAAAATGCAGCCTGTTCTGTGGAGCCAGGTGCTCCTCATGTTCCCAGGTCACCAAATCACTTTGATGGCCTCTGACTGATTTCACATTGCATAACTATATACTGGTGATGTCAGGGGTAGGTTGCGGGTGGGCAGCAGGCGATATATTCAAGGTGGATTGACTTTAAATCAATACAGTGACAATATTATCCTGTTTAATTCTGTGATGCTGGCTTTAAACATCAAATCAAGCAGTTTATTATGTCGGGGAAAAAAAAAAAGAAGAAAAAAAAAGATGAAAACCCAGGAATAAAATTCTGCTGACATAACTTCTTTCACCACTGACAGGCCATCATGATTGGCGATGACATCGTGGGTGACGTTGGCGGTGCCCAGCAGTGTGGGATGAGAGCCCTGCAGGTGCGGACCGGGAAGTTCAGGTCAGTGCCCACGGCCGCTTCATTTATACCTGCCCTTCCATGTATCCTCCCAGGACAACTGCCTTCTTGTTTTGTTCTGTTTCCAAACAAAGGGGCTTTTCTTTCTAAACAAACAGTATGTGGACATTCACAGCTTTGTCTGTAGCTGGCCCCCAAGGACCAGTGTGGCCTTTGTAGCGGAAACCACTGTCCTTAACTATGTGATGGGGGTGAGGCAGAGTGGCCCTCAGTACAGAGCCTGGACTTCAAGGCAGATGTGAATCTGTGTGGAGAGTAACGATGCAAAGTGTCCGCTTTCCTAGTGCTATGGTCAGGGAAGCGGGTTGAGTCTGTCCATGTTCCCTTGGGCAGTGGGCTCAGAACCTTTCCAGTCACTGAGGTTACAACTGACCTCATCCTGTCTGACTGCTTTCCTTCTTTTGTTGCACCTTCCCCAACCTGTGAGAAGCACAGAACCTAGAGACACAGACAGCTCTCAGGGATACTCTGGGTCTGAAGTTCACGAACAATTGTGAGGAAGTGAGTAGTTGGGTCTGCCCTGTGGTAACTGGCCTGCCTTGCTTTGCCATTGAGGGTGTCTTATGTATCAGCAGTGTCTTGCTTATTTATTTGTATATATTTATTGCTTAATAGTTTTTATTATAATTACATAATTTCTTCCCTTTCCTCTCCCCAACCCCTATTTTATATTTTGAGATGGTCTTGCATGTAGCCCAGGGTTGTCTCAAACTTGCTACATGGCCAAAATTGATCTGGAACTTCTGAGTCTTCTGCCGCTACCTCCCAAGTATTGGATTATAGGAGTGTGTCACTATACCTGATGTATGCTGTGCTGGGGATCGAACCCAGGGCTCTGTGCATTCTAAGCAAGCACGCTGCTGACCAAGCCGCATCACTAGTTCCTGCCTTGCTTGCTTTAATGGATTTCATTGTGGTCAGGCTATTCAAACAAAGTACTGTTTTGTCAATGCTAGAGAGATTGGTGAAAAACATGATTATCTGGGTTTGAGTGATGGAATGTCAGTCACACACATCTGAGTGATTGTCTTAGGCGGGGCTAGAATCCACCAATGGCCTGCCTTTTACTCTGAGATCCATCCTGGGTAAGAAACCTGAGGGAACCCTGAGCCAATGCAGTCTGTGAACATGAGGGAGGGAATGTCAGCTCTTGCAGACTCTCCCAGGTTGGACATGCCTTTGAAGCCTCCACCTACCTGAACTATAGACTTCTTTTCTTCCCCAGCCTCTCAGAGGAGGGTCTCAAGGCTCCACTGGTTACCTCTGGTCTGAGAGAGCCCTGCTTACAAGCTACAAAAGCATTTCTTCCAAGTGACCATCCTATCCCTTCCTGGTCTGTTTGCACTGATGTAACACAGTAATCACACAATCTTATTGTGAAGACAAGAAATAGAGTCTCTCATAGCTCTAAAGGCCGAGGTGTCCAAGATCACGGTGCCAGTATGTTCAATGTCTTATTCTAAGATGGCTCTAGGTGTGTCTTCCTGCATTCCCAAAGGAGGAGGGATAGTGAATTGGAACAGAGAGCCCACTCCCTCAAGCCCTTTTCAGGAGGTATCTGTTGTGATAATTATTTGAGGGTTTCTACCCCACTCTTGATTATATAGTTCTCAAACAAAAGTTTATATTAATAATAAGCCTTCACAGCAGGAGAGCTGGGCAGGTATCAACCCTCTATAGTATTTTATCTACTTCCCTGTCAATAACCCCAAGATATAGCTTGCCATGTTCCATCTGGGCTGCTCTTACTCCAGTTGGCCAGACCTCATGGTCATGCTCTCATGACCCACCTACCCCAGGGCATCTTCTTGTCTCCTCTCCTCATGGTCTCTGCCTCAGACCCCAAGCCCAGCTATAGAGTGTAGGACTCTTTCTTCAACCAATAGTCCTAAATTACGGAGCAAGGTTATATAGCACCACTGGATATAAGTAAGGATCTACTCATCCCTGGGTGCAACCAGACCTTGGAGGCCAGTGTTTAGCATTACAGTGCATAGCAACAGATCAAACCTCAACAGGTATTAATCCTCATGACCAAACACCTATAAAGGCTACCACTGTTGAACCAGGAATTAAGTTTCCAACACCAGAAGTTTAGGGGATTCATCCATACCATAGCAGACATTAAGGTCCCTGATCCCTCCTTTTCCCCAGAGTTGCAAAGCCTGATTCTGCTGTGCTCCTGGCCAGAGGTTCCTCATTGGGCAGTGGGACTCAGCACCCTTCAGGCTGTGCTTGGTGTATGGCAGTGTCTCATGCTGCTCAGCACTGGGAACCCAGCTAGCACATATTCAATGTGTGCTTCAACTTGGTGGTCAAACATACGAGTGGCACATTTGTGTTTGAAAACCCAGAAGTAGGGCCATTCTAGTTTGTTTAAGGAAAACATGTCTTAATTGAGTTCAATGTTGGGGCCTATCTGGCCAGTCCAAACCCATGTGTCCAATGTACTCAGAATGTACTCTGCCTTTGCTCTTGGCTGGAACAAGCCTCTAGGCTGCTGAGTCTTTGAGGAAGACCCCACACCACAGTAAGGAGGCCTACACACAGGTAGGATCAGGGAGTTCCACCCTTTCTAGTTCCCCTTTGTAGAGATCTGTCATCTGCATGCCATTCAGAGGGAAGCGTCAGTGTGGTGGGGTATAGTTCTGTGGTAGAGTACTTACCAAGCTTGTGTGAGACTCAACCCCCAGCACCATGAAAGTCAAAATCAACAACAGTGATGTCCACTGGAGGGATAATTCTGTCCAGAGGGAGATCACCTTCTTGGTACCCACAAGCACACAGACTTAGGTTTTCCTTTATCACAAAAATGGGATTATATTGTGCAACACGCTTTTTTCTTGACTGTTTTCTGGCATCTTTCTGTAACTATAAAGTTTTGTCTAGTGCCAGGTCCTCCACTGGTGGCAAGGGATGGTGACCATGCCGCCGTGGAGAATTACCACTGGGGTTCCGGGAACTGTCCAGATTCCACAGGGCAGGACCTGTTTGTCAGGAGGCAGAGCATCCTTTGCTTGGTGAGTGGCAGAATAAGAACCTTAATACTTGCAAGGGAGCAACTGGGTCACCCACAGTGAGGCCGCCCCAGCAGGGAGGCTCAGTTTGTGCTGGCTTACCCAAGCATTGACATGACGAGGGATCTAGTGGTTCTAGCCCTAGAGACACTGCCAGATCTGACAGCCATGGCGCCTTGAAAGTGACTTGTCCCAATGCGAACATGCAAGAAACACTGTTTTCAGAGACCAAGTAGGGAATGCAAGCCCAGCTCTGGTTTTCTACAGTGAAGACAGTTTAAAGTGTTGATGCTTCCTCATTATACTTACTGTTAGAGACACACTAGGAGAGCAAACCTTAACCCTAACTCTGACCTCTAACCCTTACATTTTGTATATTACACTTACTATTAGTGGACTACCTAGTAAATTTTAGTCTAACCTTAACCCTATCCCTAACCCTAACCTTTTGTGAGTGGAGGTGTGTGTTTGTTCTTACACTGCCCCTTATTACTACAGGGGACACTCTTAAGTCAGAATGCACCCTCAGGTGACCTGACTGCACATTGGTGATCAAAGGGGTCCTGTGTTTCTTATCCCTACGGGGAGGTCCCCATCCCAGCAGCTCCTTTGGCATCCTGCCAAAGAGGTATCATACAGCCTCCAGTTTGGCAACTCTGCCCCTCTGTGATGTGTGCTTTCAGTGAGTGCCTCTGAATTCAGACAGGCCCAGGTCTTTTTCTCTCTTCATCTTGTCCCTTCTGTATGAATCAGGTCTGAGGACTGGCTATCAGTGAGCTGGCTTTACAAAAAGGCCTGTCTGCGGGGACCTCTGACCCAGAGCAGATCCTGAAGTGGGTCATTTGGCCTCACCCTTACACCAGGGAAGTTTCATCATTGTGCCTGTGGATGACGCATGCAAGGTCTGGTTTCCAGGCTGTGCTTTTCTGAAAGGCAAACAGGAACTCTGTATAGCCTTAAGCTCCTGCTGGGTTTACACGGAGCTTTGGAAGGGCTCTCACAGAATTCTCAAGGAAACTGTATCCAGGAAGGTCTATCAGAGCCATCCCAAAATAGACCCAGCTGCCTGGAGTGGGGTGAGCTCCCTTACCTAGAGTGAACCCTGGAGGCTGGTGATTGCTCACCCGGAAGAATAGAGAAGGACTGAATGCCAGAAACCTGAGTAAAAAGCTCAAGGTGTCTGCACTAGGCTGACACTGGGCTAGCCTCTGCCCTGGCTACATCAGACTCTTTCTCTGTACTCTGGCCCCTAGGACCTCAGATACTGGAGGCTGATCCTATTTCCTGCTGATAACGAGGAAGTGGAACAGAGTCCCCGAGGGATCATAGAGCTCCCAGTTTCATGTGCCACCTCCCTTCTGCAGATGCAGAAACTGAAGCCCAAATAGAGCAGGGCCGTCAGTGCCAGGCTGTCCTGCCGCTCACACCGCCCACTCCACCTGCTCTATGGCCATCGCCTTTAGGTCCTAGACTGTCATTGCTAAAGCAGTGGTCAGTGGTCAGACACACAGAGCATAGGTGGTGGCTGTGCAGAAAGGAGAGGGACCAGGTGTCAGCAATAGGTGACTTTTACTGCACACTGCACCAGGACACTGTTGTAGGAACAAACAATCTCTCAGGGTACACTTGGCTTGTCCGTGATTTGTGAGTTTAAGGCTTCTCAAAAAGGGAAGCCATCTCACCAGAACTAACACCTGCTGACCCATGTTCAACCAGAACAGCCCTCATGGAAATGACTGGAAACACAACTCTGCCTGGCCCAACACAGCCTGGCTGGCCCAGTTAGTGGACTCAGTGGTAGCTGCCCTATTCCTGTGCTTTAACTTGTTCTGAGCCCCCTGACTGCCCCCAAACACATCCAGACAAGCACTGCACACGTCAGACAGGGCTACTCCAGGAGGCAGGGGGTGGTAGCTGTGAAATCTGTCCCTGGTCCGTGACAGGTAAGGATGGGGCTGTGACACA